AAATACAGGCCATTTACCATTACGGTCATATGACAAAATTTACATCACTGTCGCTGGTTCATAAAGTACAGTCAAAGCTTAAGGGAGAAGCTGAAAGTATCGCACAATAGAATAAAACGTTTCTTTAAATCCAGGTGAGAACCCCCTGATTCACATGAAGCACGTAATTAGACTGTGAGACATAAGGAAAATCTGCAATTTGAGGCAATGTTAATGATAACATTAAATCTCAGAAAAAAATAAGTGAAATTAAAGTACAGTGAGTATAAATGCACGCTCTTTCATGACCTCTTTTGCAGCGTGTTGATTACACATTTATGGCATCATGACAATAAAAGCTGAGCAAACAGAGACTGAGTGTTGACTGTGATGACTGTGTGACCTTTGAGCAAATCTGAGTTCACCACAAATACCATTCTCTATAGAGGATAATGAACTAAAATGATATGTGACACAAATGTAAATAAAATACCGTACAATTGTGTGCATAATGAATATAATGTTCATTACTGTGTAATATCCGACTATTTGGACACATTTTATTGTGAATCTTTGGTCATATTATTTACAGAAACGTACATGTTACCACTTGTATTGAGTTGTTCAATAGTAACGTGTAAAGATTAAGTAAATATCTAGCAGCAATGTTCCCTCTAAGCTGCGCGCGTGCGCAATTGCACACTGCTGGCACGGTCTCTGCGCACAAAAAAAAAAAAAAAATCTAACCTGAATTGAAATTAAAGTAAATACGTTAACAATTCTGTTTTGCAGTGTTAGTCAGTAAGTGACTGGCTGCTCCAGTATAGGAATAGAACGATGCCACCTTATCCCATAGTCTAGCTGATCACGCGATTCACACTCATATATACGGAGCTAATCGACGTCGTTGACAGGCTATGACAGCGTCCTTATGTGCCGACACCGGTGTTTTAGCTAGCAAAGCGATGGGGAGTGAAGCCACGTTAATGACAACGTGGACAACCATTGGAGATGTGAGCAGGACAGACGGAACGACTGACGGGAAAAGTGTGGACTTTATACCAGTTTTTAAATTGTGTTGATAGGCCACGTAAAACCAGAGTTATGATAAAAATATTTGCAATGTTTGGTTTTCTTCCTGAATACTATCGTTGTTTATATTTACTGCGGGAAGAAACGGTAAAAATGGCATTTTATAAGGAAAACGCTCAAAAGCACTCTCCGCCTGTGAGCAAAACCAAAACCAGAACCCCCCCCCTCCTATTGGTGGAAAAATGTACCATGTCGACCAATCAAAAAATGATATGGCAACATGGCATTTAATGTTTAGGGAGGGGGAAGTTTTAGGAGTGACGGCTGTGTTTTGAGACGTTTAGCGCAAATCTTGTGTAGTTAGTGTGTAGTGTAGTCAATAGTTTTGTTGTGTGTGTCAGAACAATTAGGCGACTGCTGAATGTTACAGGTGTTACAGGAGTGATACATCTCCTGTTGTCGGGCCTGCAGGTATCAGGCTGTTGTTCTCCTTTATCTCATAGTGGACAGAAATTATTTTTTGGAGTGGCACAAATCATTTGTGTGGCATCAAATTTGATGCAGAACAGCTGATTGTTCTGTAAATAGTTTGAAATGTTTATTTAAAAAAACAAACAAACAAAAAAGAACAAAAACGCCTTGGCTGCATTTTTAGGTAAACAGCTGCAAAAAGAACCCAAAAAACTTTGTTTGCAAAGCTCAGTTACTTTTTTTGAAGTAGTAACTATATAATTAATAGCCCAACATTGGTCATTATGTACTGTGTTTTGCAGACAGAGAGTTACAGGACTCTCTCCCAGACCACAGACTCATAATACAAGTCGGAGCTTTATAACAAAAAATAAAAATAAAAGAAAAATAGAAAATTGTGTTTTCAAAATTGGAGTTGAAGTTATTTTTACTTCTAATAGTGTTACCATACTACACAGGTCATGAACAGGATTTTTTTTTTCATTGTAAGTGGGCTAAAGCAGTTAATTAAAAGTAGTCTAACATAAATGTAAATGCTGTAATTTGATTATTTTAATAAACCATGTAACTTGGATGGATTTGATGTTGGCGTGACCACAGTGCACACGTCTGCTGTTGCTCACAGTGGTCCAAGGGACCGCTCAGGGAGTTTGTGTGTTCGCTCGGACACATGAAAAATCAGAGGGAACATTGTCTAGCAGTCATTTTAAGATTTCTGATGTGACGTTTAAAACATGGTTTAGATGCAAACCAGTCAGTATGGTTCCTGCATTATTTAGAAATGCATATAAATATAATATGCATCATCTTGATCACCTGCCGTGGTAGTATGACATGAGACTTAATGTATAGTTAATTCAAGGCTATTGCAATAAAACTATTTTTAATGACAGGAAAACCATCTGTATGAAGTGGCTGGAGAACGTATGGGTATTTGATTGTGTCTGAACTCACAGAGAAGAAGCTGGAGTCGAAGTGTAACAGGGTCATGAACATGAGCACCAAGAGTACTCGACCGCCCAGCTGCATGTACTGCTTCGGTGAACTCTCTCCCATGGAGGGGACTCCAGCAAACATGCTTTTTCCTTCTGAACGAGATTCAGCCAGTAGCAGCAGCAGACCACCTCCAAGGGCCAGGTTTCTTGAAGAGGAGAGAGGACAGTTATTTTTGAACAGTGTCCTCAAATGAGCAGAAAAAAGCCATCCCTCTTAACTTGTCAAATGGTGACAATCCGATTGTTGTTTAATTAGCAGGGTAAGGGAACTACTCCGTTAACTTATGCCTACTTGTATGGCGAGAATGTTTTTTATTTCATTCTGAATAACACGAATGTTTCAGCTATCAAATTTGACTATTTTTCTGTTAATTATAGAGCTGATTTACTTACATTATACTACAACTCTCTCCTGACATGAATTAAATGCCCACAAAATGCATAAACAGACAAACGTGGCACTATATTTAACAGATTTCTCCAGAGACCCATGATTCATCCAGCCTGATGGTGTTTAAATCTAAATCACAGGTCTTCTCTACAGTAATTACAGTAATCCTAAGTGTTGGTGTCTGTTTGGAAACGGTGATGTATTCTGATATAATGCCACTACGAGGAGATTAGACTTTCTATTCCTGCAATCCTACACTATATTTTTTCCCCTTATTGATTAAACTAGTTCTAATTCAAGTTAAATGAAAATGTTATCAGAAGGCACCACAAAAAGCATCCGCTTCTGCTTCATCACTCGTGAACAAACTTGAATTGAAACAACATGTCAGTAAAAAGTGATGGCTGCTTTTGTTTGAAGTTTGATTTATATTAAAGTTGTGTTTCAGTTCAGCACCTAGTGACACCTACCTCATCAAAAATTTAAGGTCCCATAAAATGCTGTAGGCAACCGTCTGGTGGGGGGAAAAAAAAACACAACATTCAGATTAGACACAGTGAGATAAAAAGAAAGGAAATATAATACGACTGTTCTCACCTGTAGCGCTATGATCCCAAATAGTCCAAAGCAGGCATACTGTACAAAATTTCTACTGAGGATGAGGACACAACCACCTGTTTGGGCAGGGACAATAAGAAGAGTTAAGCCTTGAATGCTTCTCATATGGTCCGTTCTTCTCTTTACGTTGCAAAATGCAATCATAAACCTTATTTTGCAGTGCTTTATCAATAGGATTATATTACATATTTGTGTTAGATTAACTTTGCTGTTAGAAAGGCGAGGCTTAGATGGTTTGGGCATGTGCAGTGGAGGGATAGTGGATATATTACAAAAAGGATGTTAAAGGAAAAGATGAAATCCTCAAGGGAGGGTCAGGATGGATGTAGAGGGTCAGTGTGATAGATAAGGATGTTTGGGATAGTGTGAGGTGGAGGTAGATGAGCAGCAGACAGACAAAATGTGGGACACATACATTTTGCTCACACTGTTTATGACTTCCTGCAAGAGTTGTGCGTGCATGTGCAATTTACAAATAATCCCTGTGAGTCAAGGCCTCAGGCTTATCAAGTGCTCAGTTATGCAAAGTTTTTATTTTCATGTGTGATGTCAAAGAGTACAGACATGCTTAATTTGAACACTGCAGGTACACTGCCTGTTAGCACAGAAGCCCCAGTCATCTGCTGCTCAGATCTTCTGTTTGCGAAGGTGCAGCCAATCAAAAGGACAAACTATCGTAAAGGGAGGTGGAAAGAAATGACCTGTGTGGCTGCGCCAAAGCCCAGTATTAAATAAATAAGACTTATACTGAACCAGAAAGCATCCAAACCTACTATAGTACTCTGCAAAAGAAAATAATGCCTAGTTGGAAGCTGCCTAAAATCAAATGCTAAAGCTGTAGTCATGGAGGTCCAGGCTCAGGAGGTAGAGCAGGCCTTCCACTCATTGGAAGGTTGGTGATTCAATCCCTGGCTGGATTTAACCATTATCAGAATTTAAAGACATTGAACTGCAAGTTGCTGAGTCACTGTTAGATATAAAGAACTTAGACAAAAACAAAGTGTTTGTATGAATGGCTCTGAATGGGTGAATGAGACATGATTCAAACACTTTGAGTAGTAGAGTAAAAAAAAAAAAAAAAAAAAAAGCACTATACAAGAACGAGTCCATTATTGAGAAACACTCTAGAGAAAAACTATATTCTCTGGCTGGCAAGTAGTTGCTGGCCTTTGCTTTGTGAATTCAGGTCGATTGCCAGGGTGTTGGCGACTGGTCTCTAGGTCTACTTGACTGATACCTGAAACTAATGCTATCGAAGTAATTCTATCATGATCTTTTTTGCATCATAAAAACGTGTTTTTCTGTTTTTAAGTCAGTCCTCGTTGAATTTGTCCACAATATGTATCAAAGGTCTAGAGTAACCAGATGCTTAAATCAAACCCTCTCTACAACAGCTACCACAAAAGTGAACATTATAGAGTTCATGAAGGAACATGTTTTGCGGGGGTATTGAAGTTATGCCTAATTAGAATGGTGTACACTGGGAAGTAACAGTTCATGCTGAACAAATACTGTACTGATGCTTCCTGCTTCACTCGTAGTTTCAATACATGAACTAAACAATTTTTATTTATCTCATCAAAGAGCTAACATTAAAGATGTCACCTAGATTTGTTTGGCAATTTTAATTAGGACTGCTCCCGTTTACTCACCGAGCTGTCCGATGAGGTTAAGCAGCACAAAGCATGTAGCGAGAAAGTAGCCACAGTTCCAGGTTGCCTCAATGTAGTCTCGCTGCTCATTCCACTGGAACCACATGCGGATGCCATCTTCGAGGAAGGTGCTGATGAGACACAGACGAGCCAGGTGGGGCAGGTACTGTTTGGTTACCCGCAGGAACTGGGAAAGAGACGAAAAATGACTGACAAGGTCTGAAGAGGGATGGAAAGAGGTAATTTTGATTATGCTATATTATATAAATATAATTCAATGTCACCAAGCCTTAAAATCCACTAAAAAGTTCCCTAAAGGCTCTTTAAATAAATATATACTTACCTGCTAACAGTCAAACACACCACTGTGCGGGATACGCCACTGTCTAATTAGAGCTGCGCAACTAATTGAATTTCATCTGGGAATGGTTATTATAATAAGATAATCAAGACAAAACATTTATTGTGCCACACAAAATTTAGTCCCCTCCAGACTGTGGAAGGCTGGTTGTAATTTTTTTTTTTTAAAGATTAGTCTGATAGTATGCCAAAAATCACTAGCAATATTTTTCTATAATCAGCACTCCAAAAAACATTAAATAAAAGATGAAGATGTTACACTCTATATCAGGGTTGGGCAATCAATTATCTCAAGGGGCTATGTGAGAAACTGGGACTGGTTCGAAGCGTCACACAAATAAGCTGAACTCAAGTTTGTTCAATATTAATTTGATCTCTTTATATAAACTGCTACTGGTAAGAGCACATGTTATAGCTGTGGGGATACCCCTGCTCTATATGATGTTCTTGCCTCATTAATCAATCTTGTTGAGCATCTAATAAAACTATCTTCAAAGGTGTGAGAGTCTCATACATGCAAATAGCAGAATTACTGATAGATATTTCAACACAGCACAGCTTTGTTCAACTAAAAAGTATTTCTTCAAAGACAAACTGTGATGAACATTTAAACAAAACACAAATTAAGTAACTGAGGCTCTTCTCTCAAGAAGAATTCATGTACTTCCCAGACACTACAGTCACACAGGAGAGCAGAAATGGCCTGCCCTCTGGCCCGCCTATCCAGCAGTCCACATCAGCACAGTCAGATCTCAGCAGCCTATCAGCATCCACCAACTCTCACTCTGACTGCTGTGCGAGACATGAATGGGCCAATTTGGAGCCAATCCTAACAAGCCCAAAGGTTGCTGCAACAGCACAGAAATACACTATTTCGAAGTGTTAAATCTGGGTAAAATGCTAGCTCAGTACTCATTAGTGAGGGATGTGCCCCTTGCATTGAGCTTCAGTGAGCCTCCTACAAGGCAAACAAATCAGATGGTGTGTACTTTTCCCATGTAATCTTTCACAGCACTCGTGATGCCCAAATATAAATCAATCAGGCGTTATGAAATTAGGGAACATTTTCTGGGATTTGGACTGAGTTCAGTCAACACGAAGGGTCGTAAACGTATGCAGAACTGGCTCCATGATATTTGATTACTTTGAGCTTCTTTATCTGTGCTCTGCTTTGCAAAAACGTGAGATCAGTAACCTACAGCACAGAGAGCTCAACGTTTTGAAGGAACAAGGAAGATATAAAACCACATACGTGGAGAGGATGGTCCCCAGTGGTTGCAAAACAAGGGTCAGGAGGCTACCTGAACGCTTATCTTGGCGTCAGCTCATGCCAAGTTGGTTGTAATCACATGAATATAAATAACAGAAAAGCCAAAGCGAGGTATAGAAGCACAGATGCGGCTGGTGTAATAGAGAAAATATCAGCGGTGCTAAGCACTAAGAGTGCTAACTGAGTAACGTGTTAGGGTTAGCCCACAACTTTGGAGCCATCATAAGTGATTTCACAACAGCAGTCTGGCAACATAATAATGTTAATAACCCGTGTGGCTAGAAGCAAGCCGAATAACTGACACAATGAAGGAACAACCAAATGTGCTCCTGTCACTCCTCTTTCTTAGTCAATTTAGCTACCAGTTTCATCTGGTCGGTGTGACTCAATATTGCTATCAAACCCATCCCGACACACATGACAGGCATCTCCAGCATTTGTCACCCAAATTAAAACAAGAGTTGAAGCCGTCGGCAGGAACGCAGAAAGAGTAGCCGACAGACGACAAGAGGAAACGGTTAACTTCATTCTGGACAAACTAGTTAGCAGCTAACCTGCTAGCAGCGGTTAGCAGTGTGAGCTGCTGTGCGGGGGAAAAAATCAAGTTACCTGGTCTGCCACGTCTTCAGCGGTGTTCATAAGATCCTCCTGCCCCATATTCGTGTAATTTTACCAGCTGTAATGTTTAAGGCTCGGCGCAACACGGCTTCGGTGCGTTGGGGTTTTTTCCGCAAGCTGTGTTCGCTCTGTTCCTGCCACTGTTAACGTTATTTACTTGAAGATTTCCCGACAGCCTGGACTCAGAGAAAGGCCGCCTCCGCCCCACAATGCCCCGCGATTTGACGAGCGAGACGGAGCGAGCCCCCCTACATGGCACTGCAACCGCGGTGTGCCACGTATACCGATCCGTACGGGGTCCTCCGGGCCGCCCCTGGGCATTGTTTACGGCTGTACACAAGTAAACAAGCGCTGCTTTACAGCCCCAAACCCACCTGATGTTAATATCACTATAACCTGTTAGTTAGACCGTTTCCCTTAGACAGTCATACCTCTGTGCTTTTAAAATTTCTTTCTGATAATTAATCTTTTAGAGATATGGTTATAGTTTGTATGTAAACTGTCTAATAGGGTCTGTAAAAAGATAACGTATTTAAAATACTAATACTACAGATGTTCTGCCGTATTTCCAGGCACCAGGAGGCACCCGAACAAACTGATGCAGTTCTGGATATAAATTTGACAGGTCTGTAAAAGACCATTTTAGTTTAGGCATAATCTAGTGGCTTTAAAGGCTATTTAATTATTTTAATAGTGAGATCATACAGTGAGCCGTCATCTCCTGTGAGATATTAACAGTCACGTATGGTAAAGTTGTGGTCAGAGGTTTTTTTCTGCTAAATATACAGGCAGAATACGTACTCCCCCCTCCCCCCCCCCAAACTAATATTTGGTTAAATGTTCCTTAGCAAGTTTTATCTTATCTGGTAACCATTAACAGGTTCTAACCACTTTTGCTGACACAATTATTAAGACTTCATTTAAATTGGTTGGTTTCCAGGCAAATGAACAAATGTTTTTGAGTTTGAGGCTTTAGCAAGGCAAATCCAGAACTTTAACGTTAACCTGCTTCATCCATTCAAAAACCAGCTTTGATGTGTGTTAGGGATCGTTGTCCAAATTTCAACTGTTTGGTTTTGAAGTGAAGTTGTTTGGAGGTAGTCCTTCATTATTCCATCCACTTTGTGCAATGTACCAGTACCACTGGCCGCAAAACAGCCCCAGAGCACAATGCTACTATCAACATGCTTGACAGCTGGTACAGTCTTCTTAGTTTTGGAAGCTTCACCTTTACCCCTCTAAAATAAATCTTTGCAGGTTTTTTTGTTAAAGTAGTGACACATTTGAATAAGTTATATTAACATACAGTTGTCTGAACTGATGATCCTCAAATCTGCAGTTGTTTAAAATGGCTTCAGGAGACCGTCCCAACTTGTGTAAATCTACAGCTATCCTTCTTAGACCTTAGACATTCCCATTGTTCTGAGTATTGGTTAAATCCAGTGAATGTCAAAGAAATCCTCCTTATTCAGATACTACCAGTTTTAGTCCATCATGATCACTAAACAGATGAACCTTTAGTACCACTTATTTCAATACTATCAACTGACTTTATGTATCTAATTGAGCCTGTATGTATACCCCTGTGTGGTATACAGCCCTATGTGGATTAGAGAAAATCCAAAACAAATTCGAACTTGTTTACCCAACTCAAGTCCTCGATGGATATATGTAAACTTCGGACCATGACTTTAGATGTACATGTAAGGTTCAAATTACTTTATTTACACTAAGATTACAGCAGATCAGCCATGCCTTCGACAAATCACAATAGCATCAGCCACTGAACAAAGGCAGCATTTAAAGAAACAATCAGTTTCAATCAAGTTCTCTGAATTTCACTGTACGGACAATGGCTGACAGGCAGCTGTCCTGGTGAATGAGATCATATGCAAGAGACTTACGATTATGAATTTTCAACATCTTGGTGATAATACACCTGTGTGGCTCATCGATAACCAGATTCCCAACCTTCAGTACCACAGTACAGAGGGAAATTAGCAATAAGACCCCTGATTCTTTGCTGTTAAATTTTGTAAAAACTCTAAAACTAAACTGTACATTAAATGAGATGGATTAAAGCTTATTGTGGTGCTCCATATAGAGCAACAACAGTCCATCATTGGTGAAGCTTATTGCAGCACTAGAACAAGATCTGTTCTCGCTTCCTTAAAAGTCATATAAAAAAACTGTGAGCGGAAATGTTTCATTTTCCATCTTTAGCTGCAAATCTGTGTTGAAGAAAAGTTTGCATCCTCAGTGCACAACAACCAGTAAAATCAGATCTCGATGGTCAGATAAATCTCCGTTCTCGTGGAAAAGATGCAGATGTGTTGTGTGTAGCTGCTGAAGTTTGTCATATGATATCAAGTTGGAAACCTAACAGAATAATTTGAAGCATTTTTTAGGTTAAAAATTGGAGTAAATGTTTTTAAAAAAAAAGACAGACAGTTCTTGCAAATTCAAACCGAGTTATATTTTACACTAGTGCAGTTGAACGCAAACCAGAAAACACACCTTATCCAGTCCAAAGGAACTTTTAAACACATTTTCTATGCGTCATGTAAATCAGCCTTTGTTGGACCAGTGGAACTCAGGAACCAAAAACATCCTCGCGTAATAGATGTTGAAGGGTCACAGGCTGATTCTGACACAGGAATAACACTCCAAACTAGATGTCGTGGCAGGGTATATAAAAATACTCTTCATATGGGGGTTTGGATTTTACTTTCCATTTTGGGCTTTTCTGTGTTTCTTTTTCATTTTGCTTGATCTCCAGCTGTTATTTCTTTGTTTCTTGTGAAATCCACCACCCTGAGCCTGAAAGAGAAAAAGACAAATAGCATAAACAGCATGAAAGCATGGACCCATCCTGCCTCAACAGTTCAGGCTGGTGGTGGTGTAGGAAATTTTCTATGCACACTATGGGCCCCATAGGACAAATTAAGTACCACGCTAACCATGTCCACCCCTTTATGACCACAGTGTACCCATCTTCTGATGGCTGATTTCAGCAGGATAACAAACCACGTCACAAAGCTGAAATCATTTTAAACTGGTTTTCTGAACATGACAATGAGTTCACTGTACTCAAACCGCCTCCAAAGTCACCAGATCTCAACCCAACAGAGCATCTTTGGAACTTGGTTGACCAGAACATTCACATCACAAATGTGCAGCAACTATCTGATGCTATCATGTCAAGATGGACCAAAATCACTGAGGATGGTTTCTAGCACATTGAGAATCTATACCATGAACAATTAAGGCCGTTCCAAAGGCAAAAGGGGAATAAACTCGGTAAGTGTGCCTAATAAAGTGTCAGGCGAGTGTATATTATTCCACAGACCTTTTTGCGTTTCTGCACCGCCTGTTTTTCAACCTCCATTTCTTCATCCTCATCTGTCTGAAAGTCATCTTCCTCCTCTTTCCTTCCGTCCTCCATACTTTCTTCTGCTTGGTTTTTCAATGTGAATATGGAGGCTGTGGACAAATACATGGTGTTACAGAGCAGTAAAACAGGCCCGCTACAAGAGTTTCACTAATCTGTGTCATTATATGTGGATTCAATGGAGAACCAGTCATGTAAAACTCGACAATTATCATGACTAATATTGGTTCTTCCGATGGACAGTGTGCTTCTCCTGAAATCAGTGGTCAAATGAATCTAATGTGTGTAGATGGGAGATACTGACGGGGGTAGAGGTCGCTCATGCTGTCCTCAGAGTCACTATGACCGTCATCACTGGATGAGGGTTCCCACGTGCTGCTTGAATGCTTGGAAGGGTTTCCTCGACCGCCCTCCTCTTCAGTGTTTCTGGGCCTTTTCTGCGTCAGTCTGGTTGGAACGAATTCAATCCCCTGCTTCACACATTCTTCATCTAGAGAAGGCATAAGGCAGTTGTGTTAGCCATCACATTCACAGTGTAACTATACAACAACCCATTCCCTCAGTGTTTTATGCATACTCATATATCAAGTCTGTATTTACTGACATTTTCTCACCTTCTGATTATTTATTTATGTAACAAATGACAGATTGTGGTATTGTTTCCTTCCCGTTATGCAATTTAAACTTTGATTCTTTGCAGAAAAATAGAATTAGCCGAATCTTACTACTGTAAGCTCACCAAAAAATAAATTAAAGAAATTTGCAAATATGTCAGACTACATTGGTCTGAGCAAATTAAGCACGATTGGTATTTGCAAAAAAGTGCTAACAAATGAATAAGCTCATCAGATAGCTTTGCTTTCCTTCCTGAGAGATGGCTATCACACAAGAAGTCTGACTGCTGAGATGAGTAACATCCTGAATCTTTACACTACAGGAGAGGTGCACATGGAGAGATAAGTGATGCACTGACATTTAGAGAGGGCTTTCTTGAAGCGTTTTCCGTTGACGTGCCTTAAGACGTGGTGCGGCTGCCGGTTGAGATGCCGAAGGGTCAGCTTACAGAAGAGCTGATTCCTAGAGCACAAACAAAATACATACATTACATCAGAGGATCCACTTTGATCTATATGGCATCACAAAATTACTCAGCTGTAGTTACTAAAATCACTTGTTGGGCAAGCAAACATGTCCTTACGGTTGCTTTGTGCTTGGCACGATGTGCGGCTCATACTGGCTGTAGTTGAACTCTGCTGCAGCACTCAGTTTCTCATATTTCTTCCCCTCAGTGAACTTCTGCAGCTCGGCCAATTTGCAGGGAATCTCGTGCCCATTTAGAGTACATTTGATCTGAAAAAGTACAAAATCGAAGGTATGAATAGGCTGTCTTTATTGGCGTTAATGTTTTGGTCAGCAGAGGTCGGTGGATCAATCCAAATATCGCTAGCATTGATACCAACACTGGTACTGACACGAGTGCAAAATGATCGATACTTTCTTTCTGTCCTCTAAGATCAGTATGTAGCTCATTGTGTTAAATTGATGATAATTCTTATCATAAATCACGACACGCTGCTCTCCTGGGATAAGCTGCCTTTATAAGTTCCAAGTATCAGCGACACTGGCTCTGTATTAACTTGTTATCTGATCGACACAATAAATGGCAGTATTGCACACCGCTGTTGAGCACTCTTTAGCAATCACAACATCTGAACACCTGGCTCGTGCTAGATCAATTTGCAGGTTAGCATCAGCTCACACGAAGTGCACGTGTGACGTGGAGAAATCTGCTCGCTAACCTTTTTACCGCCTGTGAGCTGAAGAAAGGGGTGATTCAGGAGGAACTCTCTTAGGTCCGCAGGTAACTCATCCATAGTTTAGAAACACTTCAAACCAGCTCGTTCAGCTTGTTGACGAAGACAACGCTTCAACAAGGAAGCTCCCAACACGTGGGCTGACTGCGCAGACTCTGTCGTGTGATCTTGGCGCCATCCAGCGATCAAATCAAGTAAAACCCATCTTACACGAAGTTAGCCATTCACCTCTCTCATTTGGCATCAGGCGATCCTTTTATCGAACCACCGGTGTGATTAAACAAAAGCAGACAATTGTCTGCAAGAAATAATGTCCACGGTCCTTGATATACTCCCCTCCCCTTTTTTGCTACCTTTAAGAAACTAAACCTTAATCGGCTTAAGTAAGGTGACAACAGAGCCCAGTCAGCTGACTGCCACCATCTGACAGGTCTGAGAGCATTACGGAAGACAGACAGCCCACTCTGCTTGGATTTCATAAAACTACAGAGTAGCCGGCATATGAGCGCATGCGTGAGCTTTGAATTAAAGTTCATAAACCAGTAAAGTAGACACCTGTAAAAGTAAATAAAACTATTTTATAAATCTTCCTAGCATGGCTAGTTTAGCACATTTGTTTTACTCGACTAGTCACTAGAGACTGTGCACAGAGTGAGTCATCTCGCTTTGGAACCAAAACCACGCCCACATTTCTCCCACAATTCCCTGGTTCCGTAAACAAATATCGGAAGCTAGCTGTTTGAGGTGTCGTGCATACTGTGAATTAAAATCTGACGATAGAGCTAAAGTAGAACCCAGACAGCGCTGTTGGTGTTACTTGCAATTACATTACGTTTAGTAATGCTACTGAGTTAGCTGGCTAGCTTAATAGCATAACTGACGATATTTAAGGTTCCTACTGTTTAAGTACACGTGAATATAAATATATATATATATAACAATGTCTGGACCAAATGGAGATCCAAACATCTCTCCGGACGATGGTATTATAAACGACGAAGATGATTTCGGCGAAGAAGGTAAAACAACAAAAGCTTTCATTGTAACTGATGTTAGCAATCACTAGAGCCGCTGGGCCACTCCAGTGATTGTTAGAACAAACGTTTGTTCTAACAATCACTGGAGTGGCCCAGAGTAACTAGTGTACACTAGTTACTTTTTGGTTAATTTTAATTACGTATGCGGGTATTTGTCGGCGTGATTTAGATTTATGTAAAAGTCCATCCTTAAAACTTTTGTATGAATCAATTGGGTAATTAGCAGCCATGTTCAATAAAATGAAGCAACTGTAAAGATTCATGGGCCAAAGTTCCTCCAAAACAATGTAGGACACTGAGAAGGTCATACAGAAAACAGTGACTTCTGCTTAAGAGGTTTCTAAAAACTGTTGAATCGTGGGTTGCTTAGTGCTTCACAGACCTGCACAGAGTCAGAAAATTTTCAGAATAGGTGTCACAGTAACTACACTCAACATTCACCTTCATGTAAACATCCCTGCCTGACTAAACACCCCCACCAGTGCCTCTTCACGGCGGTTGTGTTGTCAAATAAATATAACTAAAGTGGTTTTCATATTTGCCTCATTTTCAGTTTTAGTTTTCTGTAATAACCTTGGTGATGAATACTGGACTGTTAAATTGCTGGTATGTTATTTTTTATTTAAAAGAAACAAACAAAAGGTAACTGAAGCCAAAAACGGTCAACTTTCATAGCATTATCCTGTCTTTCATTGATAACAATATAAATTAAATTTATATGATCAAAAACCGTTAAACTCTTTATTCAGTCGTTGCTCTTTAAATTGCCAAACAAAGCAAACTAACCTATGCTGCTCGTCCACAGAGTACTCTGCCATCAACAACATGCTAGATCAGATCAACTCTTACCTCGATGACCTGGAGGAGCGGAACGACGCTCTTAATGGCAAACTGCACGAACTGATGGAGTCAAATCGGCAAGCTCGACTGGAATTCAGAGCCCAGTTGTTGGCCCCCCCAAAGGAGGAGGATGTGGAGGAGCACTGTCCCACAGCAGATGGGGAGTCCTCCTCAACCAGCAAGGAGGACATAAACGAGGATAAAGAAGGCTTGCAAATGAATGACATGAATATTTAGATCAAGAGGTTAAATTAAGGAAAAAGCCGGGATAGAAATATTATGAAAGTTGACTCAACTCCTGAAAGCTGTCATTTGGACTAGTGACCCTTTATCTTCATAGTTGACGCTCACATCAGCAGGTGTGTGCGATAGATTACATCTCCTCTTTTGCAGAGCTCATTCCGGTTTCTCCTTTGGCAATGTGCCGATGTAACTAACCTCAAACAGCTTCTCATGCAAGCTGGATGTTACATCAACTTCTTTAATTTCACTGCAGACTTTATAAATCTAAAGCCAGATGTGCCGCTTTGTATTGGGAAGAAAAGGCTCAGGATTATGTGGGAGGTCACAATGCTATGTCCTAAAGCAAGAAAACGACTAAATATATATATTTTTAAAGTTGGTATTAAAACATGGTCTTTGATAAACAAGGTTCAAACTACAGGATCAACCTTAAATCTTTCCAGATTCTGGACCTAAATATTGTTTTGATACAGATGTCATATCAACAACTTCTCAAGCATTTGAGTCAGTCCTTGTTAAACAGAAAGACTCCACTTCCTCAATTGTTTCATCGCATTATTAGCTTTGCAATTCCTATACCTTCCCAAAAAGTAAATAGGAAGCATTGGACACTCATATGTATTATGCTTGTTGTGCATCCTAACTGTAAACGCTGTGCTGTGTTCAGTGTCTGTTAAGTGTTTGCTGTAAAATCAAAAAAACGAAACGTTGGAATTATGAGACATTTTTAATATAAATTAAGATGACTCCCAAACAGAAAACAAACATCCAAAAATACAATAAACTTCCAGCAGTTAGAAAACATCACCAGTTTGTTCATCTCAATTTGTCAGTAGCTGAATAAAAATACAATAAGAAATGTACAGCTTTGTTTGAAGTCATCCTTTACATGCCCTTTTTTGCCTCTCCGTTCTGTTTTGGAGTTTAAAAGCACAGATTAGATCACGTCTCCTTCATTCAGAGAGAATACAACACTAATCATGTGACAGTCGCCGACGTGACTACAAGGGTTGCTACGTGTGTCAGTCAGTCCTCTGTGGTTGATAATAGGTTTCTCTAAAACACAGGGTGAAATGTTTCCAGAGCAGAGCGCTGGTTATGATGAAGGAAGTGGTGCTTCCTGTTTCACCCTCACCTGTGAGTAACACCTCTGGATAATCTACAGGACTCTTTGCTACATTTTAATTGATAGTTTTGTACTATCGCCCAACTGTTTCTACTCTTGGTACAGCAACTAAAATTAAACGATGGTAAACTGGAGTCAAATAAGCACCAACTTAAAACAATGACATTGGGCTGTGAATGCTTTTAAAAAGGATGAGTGGAAAACAATTGTTTTTATCTAAATGTAGCCTGCGCCATCGATTCTGACCTGGAAGCGACAGCACAGCGTTTAAACTGAAAAACAAGATGTAGACAAAGTGCATGCAGCCTTATGCAAACGAGAAGAATCGTCATTTAGATTAAGTGCCTTACTGCTAGAAGAGAAGCCCTTTATTTTTGGCTGCTGGCGGCCTTTTAAAAATACACATACTCTTCACCAGACTATATTTTGACGACAGTGCTTTCAGTGTCAAGGGAACCACTGCTGACTGCCTTGTTATTTTTGTTGCCCAAAACATAATCAGCAACATCAAATTAAACCCCAAATCCCAGCCATTCATAAAAAAAGAAGATAAAATGCTGTGAACCAGGCTGCGATCAGATCCACGATTCAGCTTTTTTTTCTTCGCTCAGTCCATGTGCCACTAAGACCTGTTTGTTTTAAAGCAAATGTTGACACCTGCTCAAGTATGCAGTGTTCTTACATTCTACATTTCACCATGTGCTATGTGTGATTAGCCAGTGTCTCCACTTTACCATCAGTCCAGTCTTTTATACTGGTAGGTTGTACTAACCATCAGTCACCTAGCTAGCCAGAGAATTAACGCAAAAAAAAAAAAAGAAAGACAGAAAGAGAAAAGCTGGTAATGAGCCATCTAAGACTCCTGATTCTTGAGGACAACAGGGTGGAAAATTAGCACTTCGGCGAGCAGTCTTAATTTTAAATATCACTGGAGGAATTCAGCTTAGGAAGAAAAGAGTAAAAACCAAAACAAAACTATGGATTCGTCTATATCTGCAAATTTGATTGTATATTAAAACTTGCATTTAGCTTTCTTTTTTTTTTTTGCAACCAAGCAGCATTTCCTAATTCCAAACTACATCCTTCATGTATACAGTAAAAGTCACAATACCCTTTGTTTTTTTTTAGTTAGTATGCAAACAACACTATGTGCAGTTTTAATTCAGCACAGCAAATATTAGGTTTTAAATAATACAATGTCTGAACCAAAGCACAGATTTGGAATAATAGAATAAAGCCAATTAAACTTCAATGGGACCATGGGCCATTATATCCAAAGATATATACATTTTATATATATTTATTTTCCTGTCACCTGTTGAAGCAACAGCCTCTCTATGAATTTCTGTCGTAGTGCGACTACACAAATAAGCACAATCTGCTTAGTTGCAGTTTTCCAGAGACCAAAGTACAGGAATCAGTTCAAAGAGGGCATCAAATACAAGGATGTTCTCGTTGTTAAAAAAAAGGAGAAAAAAAAAGGGTCTATTTAGTTATTCTGATTATACTGATACTAAACACAAAGGCTTTAAGTTCAATATCTACTTCATCTTTTTATTTTTGACTAGATGACTTTATAATGTGTAATCTGATAGTGATGGCTGACGCTGGCCCACATTTTCCAACTGAAAGCCAAAATTAAGAGCTTCGCCCGCAATTGTGTTAATTTCACACCCTGGGAGAGCGATTCACATGAGAAGTCCTGTTCTCTGTGCATTTAATTCCAACTTTCCAGTGCGGTGAGGAGCTCGACCGCCAACTCCTTGGTCTCTGTTCCATGGAAGCACCTCTTTAGTCACATCCTGTCAGTGGTTGTGATTGTACCTGTTTCTTTTCTGTGCACATCATTTCCTCATCGCCTGTTTGCCGCCCTTCCCGACCTGCGTCTGGGTGCTTTCCCCGTCCCAATCTTTTTCCCCTGGGTTGCAGGGGCTTCTCTCTCCTCCAACTCTTCAGTGGCATCCTCTGCAGTGGCTGATGGCTCACAGTCCATGTCCACACTACTGCTGGCGGGCACCTCAGCAGGGGATGTGTCCATGTTGCTAGTGATGGTTGCTGAGGTGGTAGACAAGTCCTCTGAGGTTGCCTCAGGTTCGGCCGGCTTTCCCTTT